AAATATATTTATACAAAAAAATAAAAAATATAATAGCATTAAATTAATTGAGATATGTTTAAAATTTATTTTATTAAATCTCATAATGCAATTAATACTAGAAATTAATTTAAAAATATATGGATATCTGCTAATACAATTAATCTTAAAAAAAAACTGCTCATATTACTTGAAATGAAATTAGTTGTAAGATATCTAACTATTTGAGTACACAAATTGTAGAGTAAACTGGCGATTAAATATTAATTGAATACAAAAAACATCCAATACAAACTTGTGGAGTGTCGGAAAGGCAACTTACGTAATCAGCCAGAGTGTCATAAAAATGGGCAGATTGCCCACACTGTGTGGGCTTTATACGGCCAATACGAGTGCCGTTGACGTTTTTAAGTTGGGCCTTATCGCCGCAATCCATAACGAAACATGGCAAAAGCAATTGATATTAGCTAATTGATTTTGCAACACTCAAACGCGGGCGACATGTCGGAGCGAATACTTCTTGGATTGCTCGCAGCGCTAGTCGTGGGTGGCGCAGCCGCCTCGACGGACATCGATTGGTGGGAGAATGCGGCGCTGTATCAGATCTATCCGCGATCCTTTCAGGACAGCGATGGCGATGGCGTGGGCGATTTGAAGGGCATAACCCAGCGCTTGAGCTATCTGAAGGAAATCGGCATTACGGCCACTTGGCTGTCGCCGATATTCAAGTCGCCCATGTCCGATTTCGGTTACGATATATCAGACTTTAAGGAGGTCGACGAAATCTTTGGTACTATGGCCGACTTCGATGCGATGATGGCGGAGGCCAAGGCACTGGGCCTGAAGATCATCTTGGACTTTGTGCCGAACCATTCAAGCGATGAATGCGAATGGTTTCAGAAGTCCGTCAATCGAGAGGATGGCTACGATGATTTCTATGTGTGGCACGATGGCAAGCTGAACGCCGAGACAGGGGAACGCGAGCCGCCCAGCAACTGGGTCAGTGTCTTTGGTGGCTCCCAGTGGACCTGGCATGAGACGCGCCAGCAGTAC